TGAGTTCAAAGATGAGCTCCGGATGAGGTAAGGAAAGAAAGCCAAGCCAGGAGCGTTCAATCCGCGCGCCAAGATGGCCGACCCTCCGGGTGACCGGCTGAACCCTGTGGGACGCCATTGGTGACCATCTTGTCATTCGAGACCTCACCCCACACAGTGACTCGCTGACGTTTGTTGCTTAGGCACTCTCTTATCAATTGAAGTACCTTCCCCTTTATTCCTGCCTGCATTTCTAGCTTATAAATAAATGAATATAAATAAATAGTTTATTTAGGTATATAAAAGTACATACATACATATCAAGTTACAAGCAGAATGCTGGATTTCTAGATAGAGCTAGTACTGTATATACTGTTCCATGCCTAAATTAAGCCACTAATACGCACAGCGTTTTAGGCAAGATGGGGAAAAAAAAAATGTATTCACTAGTCTTCTTGCGGGTACTGTGTCAAGGCTATCTGGCAATCCAAAAATATGCAGTATGCCCACTTTCTCTTTCTTGGATAATTTTTGTCGCCTGGTCATAGAATTCTAATAGTCCTGTGAGGCAAGATTTGCCATCCCTAAATCCATGCTGAGGGGCCTGACAGCTGAGTGGACAGCGCTCGGTATTCGTAGTCCTGAAGTTCCAGGTTCGATCCCCAGTGGAGGTAGAAACAAATAGGCAGAGTTTCTTTCACGCTGATGCACCTGTTCACCAAACAGTAAATAGGTACCTTGAAGTTAGGCAGCTGCTACGGGCTACTTCCTGGGGGGGGGGGGTGAAAAAAAAATTGATTGACCGTTGAGAGGTGGGGCCGAAAGAGCAGAGCTCAACCCCTGCAAGCACAACTAGGTGAATACTACTCACCCCCCCTCACTCCTCTCCCAGCCCACCCACAAGGGAGGGAAGGAAGGTGGTGTCGTCATCAGTGTTGCCAGATTGGGCTACAAATAGCGAATTGGGCTACTTTTGAGAGCCCCGCGCTCCCAAATTTTTAATTTCGCTACTTGCTACTTTATGGGCTAATTTAAAAGCAAGATATGTGCTAATTTGGGCTATTAATGTTAAGAATGTACGATTGCGAGTTACATGAAAGTAACTAAGCTATAAATAATTGTAATTAATAATAATTGTAAATATTAATTAATATTAATTAATACTAAATAATATTATTTAATAAATTAGTCCCAATTCAATGCAGAGTTTTCTTCCAAGCACAGAAACTTGTAAATGTAAATACAAGATAATAGATAGATCGATAAATAAATATACAACTTTCAAATATTGCACCAAGTAATGGCAAGAGGGAAAAAACTATACAGCATACATTACATTTGAAATTAATAATGGATGAATGGTAATAAATTGGTGTATGTTTGTATGTATACCAGACAAAGTCCATTTAATGGCAGAATTTAGCCATTTTGTGTAAAAACTTTTATATCTCATATTATTAATTATAACAGTAATCGAAAAAGTCATAGTTTGTATATACACGAGATGAAACAGAGAGCCATGAGCTAGAGCGATGTGCTGAGTCCATAAGGAGGCCAAGCTTCCAGAAATACCTTCCTGTGATTGGCTGTTGCGGGGAATACCAACACTCTTTTTATGAATAAAATTTTAACTAAGAAATAGGTCCTTGTGCACAACAACAAGGTTGTTGTGAAAAAGAACAACAATTTCTGTTTTGCACCTGACAGAAATCTCCATCTAACTGAATAATTTACTCGAATAAGAGGGCAGAGCCGTGTATCATTATTTGTGTCAAGGCAACCCCCAATAATAACGTCTCAAGTTAGGTAGCCAGCCCATGTTTCTGTAACACTCGTTACATCCTGTAGTATTTAATTATCACTATATTAATACTTTTAAATACTTAACATTTCACTTTTTAGGTAGATTAAAGTTGAAGCAGAATGTCATAAGCAAGAATGGTGTGCTGAATAAATATGATTTATTAAGTGGATGGCACCTTTAGCTGAACCCTTCCTGTGATTGGCTGTTATGTGAATGTCAACAAAGAATATCTACCAATCATATGCCATTTATTATGCACCCCATATCATCTTGTGGGCGGAGCTTGGAACCTCCTACCCGAGCACAATAACCCGCCTTATGGGTTGCTGTTTGGCTATTTATAGTGCGTTGGAAAAAAAACAGATGGCGTTAGTTGTATTTTGTGGGGTAATTTGTTATAAGTGTAATTTGATGTCAACAGATGGCGTAAGCTGTATCTTATGGCCACTGTTGACCAGCCAGTTGATAGTGTTCTCTTCTGCCGACAGATGGCATCAGCTGTATCATTATTACTTCCGAATTCCCTTTAAACACTGATCTACAAATCCCTTGGCTTATGATAAGGTTTTATACCATTTATGACAAGTATTAGATAACTGGAGTTCCGCAATTACTTTTATTTATCAACTGTTGAGTATATCATCATATAACGTCTGGTTAGGACGTACTGCTCTCGATTGGTGAAGATTAAGCCACCCAAGAGGTGGCATGGGCATGAATAGCCCGTAAATACTGCTCTCGTAATATTATTCAGGGGGGTGGGGAACTATCAAGTGAAAGCGCCAAGCCATTACGACTATATAGCACTTGGAAGGGGTCAGGATACAGATTTGGGATGGGACGGTGGAAAGGTATGGTGCCCAACCTCTTGGACGGTCGGGGATTGAACGCGGACCTGTAGGAAACGAGACCGTCGCTCTACCGTTCAGCCCAAGTGGTCAAGCGTAATATTATTAAAACAACAATTTATGCATATAATAACAGCATTTCACACTAAAAATACTTGGATATATTGAAATTTGGTAGTGAATTCCAATCTAGGAATCTCCTATGACTAAACTGTACTTTTTAATCATTTTTATGTACATACTACTTATTATTAAATTATTAAGTATTTATTATAATAACTAAATAAATTATTTTATTTAATATTTAAATTAAATGATAAAATAATAGGTAATAATAAATCAGTGTGTAGGGGGACAGGCAGCCAGTGTATATATACATGTTAGGCTTATACCAAGGTGCCACAAAGGTGCCACAAAGGTGCCAAATTAAAGACTGGGTGCTGCCGGGGCGGGCCCAAGGGCTGCTGGCGGCCCTGGCCAGGCTGAACTTCCGCGCCCTTATAATCACCATTGTTTAATAATCTTCACAGGGAGAAACAACTGTAAATATAGGAATAGTTTATTACAACATACACGGTAAAGAAAACAGCTCGGAACTAAGAAAAAAAAAAAAAAAAAAAAAAAAAACTAAGGAAATAAAGCTGCTGAAAAAACATTAAAGTCCACTTCAAGTTCAAGTATGTTTATTGAGACAATAAAAAAATACATCTCAAAGGGATAGAGTAGCTTAGGCTATGTCTATCCCCCCCCCCCTCTACTTCAAGTCCCTCAAGGGGCGCACAAATTCAGTGAGTACAAATACACAAATCATATATATATATATATATATATATATATATATATATATATATATATATATATATATATATATATATATATATATATATATATGAGTAGTCTCCTGGTGGGAAAGTGTTCTAAAGTTGTATACTTAACTCTCGTGTTTAGGAGAGTTGTGCCTTAAGCAGAGACACTGTCTTCCCATATTAACAGGGACTTGATGAAATTAACGTCTAAATGACCCCTCACTTGCTCTGGTGCTCTTGGGAGGTGTTGATCTTTGGAGTATTTAAATACTCCGAAATTACCATCTCTTTTAAGGGTCTGAGCGGGTGGTGGAGAGGGTTAAGGCGTACCTGTTATGCCAGTTGCTGGAAGGCTTCTGTGCTGGCTAGGGTTCGAGTCTCCTGGTGGGAAAGTGTTCTAAAGTTGTATATATATTGTGACGATAATCTCCTTCAAGAGATTGAGCCTGCTCTTCCCTTCATAACTACGTCGTCACAATTATATAATACGACTATGGAAGAAATGTCCAACAACGACAACAACACCAGCAAGGCTTGCCAGGGTGAGCAAAACGTATGCAGCCAGCCACCTGTTCGAACTCCAACCACCAAACTACCCGTTGATCGCTACGGCTCCGCTGATTGGTCGCCGGTCTGGCTGCACCTGCACTCGCCCCCCATACTACCTGATGTCTGGGGTCGCCCCAACATCAGTCCTCAGAATGTTCAGTGCTTTCGTGGCCATCACACCTCCCAGCTAGACTCTAGCGTGTACTGAGAGAGGTGGTGGCTTTAAGCCAATATTCCAGCACCTCCCACTTAACTTTTGTATTGCACTTCTTGTTATTTTGCCTTAACGTAACTTTTCATTGTGTCATTTAAGTATTCTTATTATTTTGATTCATTGATTTTATTATAAGAATTTGTTTGTGCATTTTATTCATGTTTTGATTTATTTAACGTAATTAAAATTTCATTGTTAAAGTTTTACTTGTGTTTTGTGTGTCTTCTCCTTACCTTACCACAGACGAAGTTCCAGTTTTTCTATTTTTTTTTTATAACTATGTGACGAGGCCATACCCCTAGCCTTAAACAGCCGAACACCAACGCGTTACCGTCACAATATATATATATATATATATATATATATATATATATATATATATATATATTATATGTGTGTGTGTGTATGTGCAGAAATAATATTAATAAAACAATTAACATCGTGTAGTGTACTCTATATATCAAAATATATTACTTTGAAACCCATATCATTCACTAAAAAAAATTGGGCTACTTTTATTACAAATTCGCTACTTTTAGAGCGTCAGCTCGCTACTTTCCGCAACCTAGATCTGGCAACCGTGATCGTCATCAGCAACACGGCCAAGTCACCCGTGGAAACGGATGCTTGTGTCTATTTCACTAACTCAATCAAACACACACAAAAATTAGAGATTAATTCACCATAGGCTAGATATGATTATTTTTCATTATGATAATTAATTATAATTTGAGTGAATGGCTGGTGAGAGAAATATGTAGAATTTAGTGATGGTAAACACGTCATGGTTGTGTGAGGGTGACATGGCTAGTGTTATGAGAGAGTAAGCATGACAAGCGCTTGAGTATTGTCAGTCACAAGCGCTTGAGTGGTTCACTCGTGCCACAGTAACTCTGAAGGCCTACAGCTGTCACTCCTTACTCAGACGACACCACCAGTACACACCTGAGTGTACACCAGTATACACCTGAGTGTACATCTGAGTGTACACCAACACCACCCGCCTCGCCCCTATAGTAGGTGAGACAGTCACAACGGGTCCGTAGAATTTGCCAAATCTACCCAAATTCATCCAAATTTACCCAAATCCTGTTAGCATTACGTAAGTAATGAAGAAATATGGTACAGTATATTTGCTCACTATAATGTCTCATTACAGTCACTATATACTATATATACTATACACTATATACTCACTATATTAGTCTCCGTGGTGTAGTGGTAAGACACTCGCCTGGCGTTCCGCGAGCGCTATGTCATGGGTTCGTATCCTGGCCGGGGAGGATTTACTGGGCGCAAATCCTTAACTGTAGCCTCTGTTTAACGCAACAGTAAAATGTGTACTTGGATGAAAAAACGATTCTTCGCAGCGGGGATCGTATTCCAGGGACTTGCCCGAAACGCTACGCGTACTAGTGGCTGTACAAGAATGTAACAACTCTTGTATATATCTCAAAAAAAAAAAAAAAAAAAAAAAAATGTTGGTGCTGAATGCAGAACAGGATCAAACCTATTTTTACTCTGAAATAATGTAATTTCATAACGAAATTAGAAGTAAATATGTAGCAGGTGACGCCATAGGAAGGCGAGGGTCCAAGCGACAATGTTGTGGGGCGACTTATCCAAGATATATTGCCAATGGGTTTGAAAAGTTGCCTCTAACATTACCTAACCCAAACTAACCTTGCCTAGCCCAAACTAACCTTGCCTAGTTCAAAATAACCATGCCTAGTCCAAACTAACCTTACCTAACCCAAACTAACCTTACGTAAATTTGCGACAATTTGAGCCAAGAAGTGCGACGACTGGATCGTTGCGTACAGGAGGCTGATATGCCAGCAAACAGTCCAGGCGACAATATATCTTGGATACGTCGCTCCACAATATTGTCGCTTGGACCCTCGACTTCCTATGGCGTCACCTGTTACATATTTACTTCTAATTTTGATATGAAATTAGATTATTTCAGAGTAAAAATAGGTTTGAGTCTGTTCTGCATTCAGCACCAACATTATAGTGAGTAAATATACTGTACCATATTTCTTCATTACTTACATAATGCTAACAGGATTTGGGTAAATTTGGGTGGATTTGGATAGATTTGGGTAATTCTATGGACCGATCACAACAGTTAGGCTTGTTTCTTGCTTGTTTGTAGTACTGGTATGTTAGCGAGCTTTGCTTCTTCCTATATTGTACCCATTTTCTTGTCTTTGAATCTCTGGCCCTCTCACAATTTCTGGTTTTGCATCTGTTTTTGTATATATATTTTTTTAATGCCTGTACCTGTACCTTCATCGTATATTTCACAGAATTTAGAACAAGTCCTTCCAAATTAAAATCATTAAAAAATTTGCTAAGCTCCTCATAGTGTCCTTTAAAATCAAGTTTGTCAACTATTGTATTTCAATTTCACCGTTCTCTTCTAGATTATATCGCATAGCATATCTAATTTCCAACAGGATATGGTCACTCTTTTTCAAGGGAGGAAGATATGGAATGTCGAATATCTCTTCTTCTTTCCTGGTAAATACCAAATCCAGCAATGATAGAGTATCACCATCTCTCATTCGTGTGTGCTTTTTATATGTTGAGACATGAAAGATTCCAGGATGAGGTTTATGAATTGGTCAGTCCAAATATCCTCTGGTCTTGCTTCATAGTCTTTAAGTCTATCAAATTTAAATTGAAGTCACCAAGTATAAAAATTGTGATTTATCTTTATCTGCTTTTACATTAATTACTCTCATGGTCATTATAAGGCTCTCTCTCTCTCTTGTCAACACGCTCCTTCTTAGTCCATGTATTGCTTGCTGGTGGACTGTATAATACTGTAATTTTATAAGTCATTGTGTCGGAGAGGCAGCCCGTGTGTGTTCACACATGTTAGGTTTATGTCGAGTCCTTCCCCCCCCCCCCAGGTCAAATTGCCGACCCTGCCCAGGATGCAACCCCACAACAAGCTGACTAAGTTTTGAATTCATACATACTGCTAGGTGAACAGATGCATTAGGTGATAGGAAATGCACCCAACCATTTATGTCCCGTATGGGATTTGAACCCGAAATTCTGGATTGTGTGTCGAGAATGAACCCCATTGTACTACCTGGACCCTTCATGCAGTATTACGTAATGATTATTAGTTTATCATTCTGACTGCAAATCTCCAGCACCATTATATTTGCTTTTCAAGGGTTGTCAAGTATAAATTCTCTTACCTTTAGTCATTCCTTCACCAGGATTGCCACCCCTTCACCTTTTCTAACTTGTCACGTCTTCAAATAGCATAGCCCCTTGGGAATACCACCACATTAAAATTTGTATCCTCGTTTTGTCTCTGCTAGTGTGACAGCATCTGACATCTTAAGCTGTATTATTTTATTTATTCATTTTATTAATTGTATTTATCTTATTTTATTTATTTATTCAAGAAGGTGTATTGGGTTTGTGAGAGTAAATAACATTGATTTTTTACGTTCCTGCAAAGCCACTAATATCTATCGTGTTTCAGGCAAGTCCTTAATCTAACAGATTAATTAATTATTATTAAAGCAAAATTTTCATTCAACATAACTATGATATAAGTTGATAGCAGTGATTATAATGGTGAAGTTGCATGTCTTAGGCACAGATTTTGAGGAAGACGGTAGCACAAGATACAGTGAGTTTGAAACACATTAAATTATATAATTTAACTCCAGTATTTTTTACCTTACCCCATCTTTGTAGGTATACACAATTTTCAGGAACATGTTCCATCCTCCTTTGCCCTTCACATTTCGTTCCTCTAAGGAGTTTGCTGATTTTCTTTCGTGTGCCATTTCGACGGCTTCCCAATCCCTACCACCTTGTAGAAAAAGAATTCATTTTTCCTGATTTCTATTCTCATTTAAGTTTCATCTTCTCTCTGTTTTCCTTGGAAAGGTCTTGTCTTAATGACCATTGTTTCCCATCCCCATCATTTTGCAATTTCTTGGCATTTCTAAGTACTTCTGTCATTTGCTTTATTCCATTCAATGTCACCCTTAAGGGACGAGTCTTACCTTTTATATATTTTCCTATCCTCTGAAAATCACTGATTTTTCCTTTCATTGACAGGCCTTCCCCCAACCCTACTATTTTTTCAATGATTTTTTCTTTTTCTGATGTTCTGGTAACAGAGCATAGCTAAATATCCCCAGCTTGCTAACTGTAGGTAGTAAATGAGTCATTGTAACCTATCCACTGCTGCCCACTGGATGGGGGGGGGCAGTGTGCAGGACAAACATATCAATGGTGACTCTAGCTCTCCACATATGTCAGTTGCTTCATTTAGAAACTGTACTTGGTCTCGAGCCCATTGTTAATGTGACAATGTGCATTGAATTTTGTAACTTCTGTAACTGAATTTTTGTCATCAAGATTGTAACTTGCTTACCTAAATGAATTGTGGGGTTAAGTCCCTGAGCTCATTATGTGCCTCTGTAACCCTTTCCACTACCCCCCCACAAGGTGGGTATGGGGTGCATAATAAATAGCGAAATTAAAATTGCTCTGTTGGGAGGGGGGGGGGGGAAGAGTAGAAATAGTCTAAGCTACTCTATCCTTTTGAGATTTATTTTTTCTTGTCTTAATAAACGTACTTGAACTTGATGCTCTGTCAACACTAGATGGAATCTCCTTTTCCAAACATCAAAACGCACATGGATGTGTGTGCATATGCATATTCCTCCTGTGCTGCATATATGTTTAGCATCGTGACCTGTAATAGAACAATTATCTTACTAAGATATCATGTTTATTCCTGCAGATACATCCTAATTGTGATAAATCCACTCTGCTTGGACAAAGTTGTGGGACCAAGTGCACGGTACTTTGCCAAGATTACAACTCTGTGAAGAAACAAGTCTTGCACAATTACATTGACAATGGCCTCAATTAAATTATCCGAGAAGAGAGAGAGTTATGAGAAAGAGGAGAGGTAAGTGTTTAATATGCCTAGTTTTCAGTCAGATGTTCTAGGCTAATGGGTGGACAACCTTCTTAAGTATGCGTGCCAAAATCACCACATCTCTGATGCAAAATTTCCTCGTTTGCCTACCGAAATGTTTGGGAACATATTACTTTGTGACATTTAACTACTGTACTGTACAGTAGTAAAATGTGACAAGCCTCTGGTGTGCAGGAATAAAAAATCTAAATTTTATTTCCCTTCCAGAATTGTTAAATACCCGCCTCTGACCATATATACTGTACTGTATGTTGAAAAAAAAATACAAACCAGTGCTTAGCCACAGTTGAAATTGAAATAAGTTTATTGAGGTAAAATACACACAAAGGGATGAGGTAGCTCAAGCTATTCTCACCCCGTTCAGTACAACGTGTTCATACATATATACACACATCACAAAAAATACATTACCGAACAAATTGGCCGCAGTGGTATCCACAAAATGGGGTGTGACATCACGGCTGGGTAATAAGTCTGCCGGAGACTCCCCAAGGAGGTCGTGCGCTAGATTCAACAAGTGGGAGCGTCCACAAATATTTGTAATTTAATGCATTTTTGTAGTTTTTTCTGACATCCTATGTATATTGACTTGTTTACAATATTCATACAGTAGAACATCCGTATTGTTCAAGAAACTGTGTCCACAAACAGTGTTATTTTTTTCAATAATACATGTCCAGTTATTTACAATATTTACTCTTTTGGTGCGTGTCATTGTTGAGGCTCTTTTGGTGCTTGTTATTGTTGAGGCTCTTTTGGTGCGTGTTATTGTTGAGGCTCTTTTGGTGCGTGTTATTGTTGAGGCTCTTTTGGTGCGTGTTATTGTTGAGGCTCTTTTGGTGCGTGTTATTGTTGAGGCTCTTTTGGTGCGTGTTATTGTTGAGGCTCTTTTGGTGCGTGTTATTGTTGAGGCTCTGTTGGTGCGTGTTATTGTTGAGGCTCTTTTGGTGCGTGTTATTGTTGAGGCTCTTTTGGTGCGTGTTATTGTTGAGGCTCTGTTGGTGCGTGTTATTGTTGAGGCTCTTTTGGTGCGTGTTATTGTTGAGGCTCTTTTGGTGCGTGTTATTGTTGAGGCTCTTTTGGTGCGTGTTATTGTTGAGGCTCTTTTGGTGCGTGTTATTGTTGAGGCTCTTTTGGTGCGTGTTATTGTTGAGGCTCTTTTGGTGCGTGTTATTGTTGAGGCTCTTTTGGTGCGTGTTATTGTTGAGGCTCTTTTGGTGCGTGTTATTGTTGAGGCTCTTTTGGTGCGTGTTATTGTTGAGGCTCTTTTGGTGCGTGTTATTGTTGAGGCTCTGTTGGTGCGTGTTATTGTTGAGGCTCTGTTGGTGCGTGTTATTGTTGAGGCTCTGTTGTTGAGGCTCTTTTGGTGCGTGTTATTGTTGAGGCTCTTTTGGTGCGTGTTATTGTTGAGGCTCTGTTGGTGCGTGTTATTGTTGAGGCTCTGTTGTTGAGGCTCTTTTGGTGCGTGTTATTGTTGAGGCTCTTTTGGTGCGTGTTATTGTTGAGGCTCTTTTGGTGCGTGTTATTGTTGAGGCTCTTTTGGTGCGCGTCATTGTTGAGGCTCTTTTGGTGCGTGTCATTGGTGGGACTCGTGGGGGTGGAGGCCTGGTCGAGGACCGGGCCGCGGGGACACTAAGCCCCGACATCATCTCAAGGTAACCTCAAGATGGACTTACAACACTTACAAGTGTTGTAAATGGGGTGCCCAGGGCTATGGCCTGGTACCTCTCTTGTTTACCATAAATAAATGTGATCAATTTAGACACTAGATTGAACAGTAGCATTTAAAAATTTGCAAATGGTACAAAATTAGGGTCTGAAATAAATTAGGAAGGTTAAAATCTATTTTAGGCAATTTAAGTATGCCTTTTATTAAGGGGAAGATGGCAGATGCTGTTTAATGGTGACAAATGTCGGGTCTGAGCCTAAGTAATGATAAGTGGCAACATATCAGCTGGACAATGCTGAAATTGCCAAATGTGAATGGTAGTAAGGTGTGAGAGTAATGATTAGTATGGAATAAACCAATAAGGATGCCGGGATTCATATCGGTAAGTTTTAACGGTAGGATATATGATGTTATTGAGAAAATCGGTAGAAACCATGAGGAGGATTCGAACCCGCACACTGGGCATTCCCAAGTTCACGTCTTAGAACTGCACCATCTTTTATTATTCTGTTTACCCGTTTTCTTTTTGTAATCTTTTCTAGTCCCAACTGTTCCCCTTTGTACCCTGCTTGCTCTAGTGTGCACCAGCCAGCTCCTTTATACTCTCTTTACTTCCCTGTACCCATTGCCCCAGTAGTGCCCCTCTGGTGCCGTCCTTGCTTTAACACACGTGGTTACCAGTGGTGTATACCTCCCCGAGCTCTGCCTACACTCCACCCTTGCTGACCCTCACCACACTTTTCGCACTGGTGGCTTGCTGGTTGTCTTACATTGTGGCCCAAGTGGACAGTGTTTCTTACTACTAATTTACTGTGTAACATGTGTGTGTGTGTGTGTGTGTGTGTGTGTGTGTGTGTGTGTGTGTGTGTGTGTGTGTGTGTGTGTGTAATGTAATGTTTGTATCATGCATGTGAGGCGCGGGCAGCATGTGGGGCGACGCAGTACTGTGGCGGGAGTGTTGATGTCGGCCAGGTGCGCACGTCGGCTGGCTGGCCGGCCGCCCCACACACTGCCTGCCACCTTGCCAAAGGCCGGGGCGGGGTGATAGAATATAGACACACCTGGAGGAAGATGTCATGTCATGGAGGGCGGGGGGGGGGGGGGACAGTGGTTTTGCCAGACAGGTGGTGGCACAGTGCCGCTGACCACTCACTTCCACACCACACTGGTGCTTACTACTGTGACTGCTCCACAAGGTGCTGCTTCTACTGCTGCTACCACCACCACTACTACTACCTCTCACACCACCAGCCTCACCACCATCTGCCGGCTAGACAAGGTAATTAAGGGGATGGTGGTGATGCTGTACACCAGCGGGATGATATTCACATCAACGGTGTCAGTCTTTAACTGATTACTCTCAGGTGTTAACCTGTTATTGTTCTCACCCAAGTTGTCTACGTCACGGTACAATGTTTGCTTGGTCACCAATGTTAATATGATTCCCAATGTTTACCCAGTTGGTGCTACTGAGGTTCAAATGTTTAGAGTCGCAAGGTTAACAGGTGTTTGATGTGTGTGTCTGTGATGTGTGCGTGTCGGGTCCGTTTAATCTACCCAAACTTACTGAAAGCTACACAAAGCTTCCCAGCATTACGTTAGTAATGAATAAATATGATATATTTATTCATTATAAGGTTGCTGCTGAATGTAGAACATGAAAACATATTTTTACTCTGAAAAAGTATAGTTTTATAACGAAAGTAGACGAAAATAATAAGCTGGTGAAGCAAGTCGGCGGTCTAAGCGACAATGCTGACATATGAGCCTCTTGTACCTACCTAACCTACCCAACCTATCCAAACCTAACTTAATATAGCCTCTAGGCAACAATGTATCTTGAATAATTTGTTCATCTTGGATAAGTCGCTCCACAACATTGTCGCTTGGATCGTCGACTTCCTATATGGCCTTTCATGCCGCTTAGTTTCGTCTAATTTCGTTATAAATTTATATTATTTATGAGTAAAAATGTTTTTTTCAATGTTCTACATTTAACACAACAATATAGTGAGTAAATATATCACATTTCTTCGTTACTTGCGTAATGCTAGGAAGCTTTGGGTAATTAAACGGACCGCATGTGTCTGTGATTGATGTGTGTGTTAGATGTGTATTCACCTAGTTCACACACAGAGATCACACTAACGTGATGCATCAAATGAACAAATCCACAAGGGCCGTTTGTGCCTCGGAGAGGCTACGGGATCCAGTAAGTTCAGTAGAACTTCGGTTTCAACCCTTTTACCCTGTCGTAGCTCAGTCGATTAAGGCAGTGTCTGGGATGCTCCTGGACGCAGGTTCGAATCCTCGTCACGGCCCTTGTGGATTTGTTCACCTAGTTGTGCTTGCGGGGGTTGAGCTCTGCTCTTTTGGCCCGCCTCAACTGTCAATCAACCAACTGTTACTAACTACTATTTTTTTTCACACACCCCAGAAAGCAGCCCGTAACAGCTGTCTAACTCCCAGGTACCTATTTACTGCTAGGTAACAGGGACATTAGGGTGAAAAAACTCTGCCCCATTTGTTTCTGCCGGCCCCGAGAATCGAATCCCGGTCCACATGACTACGTATCGAGCGTGCTGTCCACACAACCACCGGCCCCCCTCTGTGTGTGTGTGTGTGTGTGAGAGAGAGAGAAAATGAATAAATGAATGTATGTATGTGTGTGTGTGTGTGTGTGTGTGTGTGTGTGTGTGTGTGTGTGTGTATGTTCGGTGAGTGTGAGGGGGGCCTGCAGGTGCTGGCGTTGGTGCCACAGCTGAAGTGATGCAAGAGTTCGGGCCCGTCTCGACGAGTTAGCTTCTGGAAGCCGCCGCGGCCGCTCAGAAATTACTTCATCACATAATATGCAGTTTTGTTTATATTGGTTTTGCTTAGTATTGGCATATCTTAAGTACAATTTTTTGGTGAATGAGCAAAATAAATGATTAAGTCGTACTACACTTTAGTTTATCCTTGTATTAGTATAGGGCATGTTTGTAGTAACCAGATAGATGTAAGGGTGCTGGAGTGAGGAGTCTAACTGCTGCGGTGACTGACGTTGGGAAATTGACTATTGACACTATTGACAGGGCTTGAGTGCATGGAGGAATTGCGTAAAATCCTGGTTTGAGTCTCGGAGAGGCTGCAGGGTCCAAGTAAGGGCAGTAGAACTTCTGGTTGCAATTTATTTAACCATGTCGTAGCGCAGTCGATTAAGGCAGCGTCTGGGATGCTCTGGGACGTAGATTCGAACTCTCGTCACGGCTCTTGTGGATTTGTTCAAGGTTGGAAAAGATTAATTAAGAAACGCTGGGCT